AACAACCACCATTATCGTTCATTTCACATCACTGCAACAGCCATTAGAATGAAGTGCCACTTCATCCACACAGTTACTCATGCTGACGTTGCTTGCACACAACTTAAGACAACAATTTCTATCCATTTTAAATATATCTAGAAAGGCTGAACAGCACAACACATGAGATACAATGGAAGTGTCTATAAATTGGCACCATATTTTGCAGTCATTACATTTTTGTGTTCTTCAAACATGCAGAAAAGTTGTATAACAGTTCTCCACAATGTGACAACTTACATACAGTACATTCGTTCAACTTATCACACAATTACGTTAAAACCCGAAGGGCAGTTGGCTCCATTTTTGTTTAACCATGCCTTTAACCTTTGTTCATTTTTGTATTATTAAAAATATTCCGTTTTCCCCTCAGATTTTATGTCCACTGGAGAGGGCAGAAAAAAGGATAAATCTGCAAACTTGCATGTTTTCCCTATGTTATTAATCAGTTTAGTGTATTAATTATTTCTTAAGCTCAGAAAGCAAGTATCAAAAAGCTTATTACTGACCAATCCATGAATTAACATCAAATTATCTGCTAACTGAAATACATATAATGCTAATGCATTTTATAAAGGCTGCGTATTGAGCAGAATGTGTATTATAAAATACTGCTCTGTTGCCACGCAAGTTAGTTCCATTAAATTATGCTTGTGATTTTCATGCAGCAACAGTTTTGTCTTGTGAAGACAAAAAAGCATTAATTATTAAATGGGATACCAGGACCAGATTAATTAAATGGTGATTAGAGACTCTCCTGGTGCTGTTCCCATGTAGCTGTAGCTGTCAATGAAAACAAGCATGTGACTACACAGATTTAAATAAGCCGTTTCATACGGCTTCTTTCAAAACAACTACTTGTGCTTGAACGACAGTAAAATTTTGCTGAGTCTTTATTTTATTTCATAGCTTTTTGTAAGGTCTTCTGACCGCAAGAGGAACCATTTTCTCCATTTTACTGAAGACGGTTTGGCAATAGATTTAAGTATGCAACCTCTACACTAAACAAATAGTCAAGACCACATTTTATAACACCAGACGTTTAACCTGCTGCTTCCTGGAATGCCATGAACAAAAACAAAGGGGATTACATTCAATACATTTGGTCTGATTTTATCGGGGTTAATGTGGAACAGATAGTGGACACATTCAGATTTTGTACAAATAGCTGGTGGTGTAATTAAAACAAAAAGACTGGTTGCCCCCCTTCGAGGACCCCTGAATGTAATGCTGCTTGATGAGCTCACTCAGGTAGTGGACGATTTTACTCTCTTCCACAGTGTAGCCGAGCTGCAACAAGAAATTAGTCCTGCGCGACGTTACCGAGCCCTGGTCGTTGATGTCCATGGGAAGGTGAATGTGATGGCAGAATGTATATAGGAAGGCCTTGGCTGTAAGCTGAGTCAACATGCCCTGAACATGGAGGAAGTAGGTACTGCCACGTTTGATCTGAGTCCTGTGGTCTGCCAAATGGCTTACTAGTGTTCCTTTGTATGGCGGACACCGAAGGGTCTTGTTGTCACAGTCCAAAATGCTTATGTAACGGCTGTATCGATTCAAAGAGTGGAGAATGCTGGATCCAGCCGGGGAGGCAGCTCTGGGGGAGAAAAAAAAAAAAGATTAAATACCAAAAATAATGAACAAACACTGCACTTTTGGCCACTGATTTAAAGCATTGCAAGCAAAAAAAATGGCTGCTTTTGAAACTATGATACTGAGTTATTGATTGACTACAGGTCGGCCACATACCTCTGCAATCCAATAAGTTTCCATCTCTGCAGGTCGGTAAGCTGAAATGGCGATGAAAGCCACGGTTGGACGGTTTCACCGTACTTGCCGAGATTGGGAACGAAAATGAACAAAGCATTGACTAGCTTCCTCACCGTGCCCTCGTCCACCCCTAAAATAACGAGCGTTCGGCCACTCAGAAGGCAGAAAATGGCTTGCTGAGCAAACGGATATTGCCTGATGAATCGAAGAGCACTGTGACCAGCTTTCTTCTTCTGCTTTAGTGTCAACGCACTGCCGTAGGTGAACGGAGACACCGCTTGGTCAGAACTGGTGGAGGCGCTCATGAAGCTCGTACTATCGGAGACATCTTCGATATTAATTTTTGCCACCTCCTCAGTGTTTAGCTCAGAAAAAGTCAGTCCCATGTTTGGGCTTTCTGCGAGGGCTGACTCTTCTAAAGTGTAGTCCACCTGTAAGGCAGGGTCTCCCTGAAGAAGAGACAGAGGTTCTTGGTTCACCACTGTGTCACCACAGCACTCCTGAGCGAGCTCAGGTAAAGGTTCCTCAAAAATGAAACCGTCCTGTCCAATACAGCAGGCTGCATCCATCGGGACTAGATTCCCGTCAGACGTCATTTGTGGGACAGCAACAGAGCAGGATGTGTTTTCAGATGGTGATGCAATGGATACCTTGCTCTTTCGTTCTAGACCATCAAAGTAATTTGCCTGTAGACTGGAAGGACTAACACCTCCAAAAGCCTCAATGCTCTTGTCGCTACTAAAACTTCCTTTGGTCTCCGTGTCGGCGGCCTCTGAGGTTTCCTGCGTAATGTCAGATGTACTGGACTCGGGAGGCCCTTCCATAGACTCCACACCTGGCTTAATGTGATCTACATCTATGCAGGTGGTGTACGAGTCGAGACTCAGCGGCTCGCCAGATATGTTCAGAATGGGGACAGTTGGATTGTTGGAAGAAATACTGAAGTTCGTTGAGGTTCCTCCGTACTCCCAGTCGCGTTCAGCTTCGAAGAGGAAACTAGTAACGCTCTGTTTGCTCAGAAGAGCCCTGTCGATCTGGCTAGTGTAAATAAGGCATAGATCTCCTCGGAATGACTTCTCAATTATGTTTAGTTGCTCTAGAGTTTGGTGGAAAAAGCTGGCATCGCAGAGCTCTTCCATCGTTTTCAAGCGTTTATCAAAGCATTTTGCAGATTTGGCCTTTATGAGCTGAGGCGTGTAAGAGGACTTTCTACTCTCGCTTTCAGTTTCCACGGTCTTATCTGCAACGTCAGAATGATTACTATTTAGTGTATCGTCTATTACACTCGTGTCAGCCGGTTTCTCCATCTCGTGTTGGACAAAATCAACATCTTTTTTCCTGGAAGGATAAGACGTTATTTGCCTCAGCAGATCTTTGTGTTCATAGATGGACTTCTCCACATTTGCTAATTCATTCGCCTTCTCAATAGCTTGTGTGGAATAACAGCCATTGTTCATTTTCTGAAGCTCAGTTTCTTTGTGCAGCACCGATCTGGTGTACTCCAGGTCTTTCAGTTTCTTTTCCAGTTCATTTGCAAAAGCTTTCCTGTTGCCTGATTTTAAAAATTCGGAAGCCTTGGAAAACTCGGATGACAGTTCTTGAAACTGATGCATGATCTTCCTTTCGTCTGCGGAAATGTAGGCCAAGCAAAAGGGGCGCACAAATCCACGAGCCTCCAAGTCGTACAGCGTCAGATGATGGACATAAGCGAACGCCCCTTCCTTGGAATCACCCAGGACAACTTTTGAATCCGCCACAAAATTGAGCTTTGGGTAGTTACTGCCAGGAGGATGCCCAACAAAGGACGCCTGGTAGTCCACAGACATGATGCGAAGTGAGAAGTAGTTAAGGTCAAATGTCCCACACACTTTGGGATCATTGGGAATGGTGAGTAAAGGCTGTGGACCGACCTGTTCTGAAAATTCAGAGACGAGTATGAAATCTTTTGAGAATTTCGCATAGGATGTCTTCGTCCAGGGATTTGCATTGGCAGCATGAGCAAACAAAGGCACAGAAAACTCCTCTGGAAGTGAGCATGGATCTGTGAAAGAGTCCCCAAAGTCATCTTCTTTGGTCAAAGCCACCACATCTGGTGAGCCAATCATGTTCTCGGAGTATATAGAGAGACATCAGCAGAGACACCCTTCCATGCTCAGTATCTAAATCGATGAAAACATAATATTTTACAAAGACATCATTTTGAAATCACAAATCATAAATACACTGTGCACTGAGGAGGACTCTCTGTCTTTGCAGCACGGCTGGTTAGTCCACTGAGCCAGATCACGATCTGATATAGATGAGCTTGAAGACGATGCTCTGGCAGACCTTTGATGTCGCCTGCCATAAATCTCATACATCTATCAATCGTCGCCGCTTACATAAACCTATTTATAATCCGGCATCTATATAACAAATCTAAACGAAGACACCGCTGTTACAATGTACTCCAGCTGCTCAATAAACTGACATTCTCTTAACAGCAGCCATATTTAAACGATCGTAACCTTCCCATGTGACTATCCTGATGAGGAAGCAGCTGCGTTTCAAAACCTAGAGAGCTGACTAGCTAGACAGCAGTTTGGGCACACTTAGTGAGCGGACTCGGAAAGCTCGTATGCTGCCCAAATATGCTACCTACGTAGGCATCTAACTAGGTTTTGAGACACAGTCTCTTGCATTTGTTATGATGCGTTGTCTGGTTGTTCAAGGGGAGAAATTATATTATGCGTAATGTATGACAAGACTCGTTATTATACATATATGCAGATTCACTGTTTTAACTAATTATTATTTGTTTTAAGTTAATTACATTTCGTTGGGAAAATACACAACACAATTCTAACCAGATTGTTTTACGGTATTTTTACGACAATTCTCGTCAGGCGCCGGAGTTATTTGTGTATATACGTGTGTAATAGGAAATAGGAATAGGAAAAGCAAAAACAAGGAAGAAATTGATTATAAATAAACCATGACTGCATAACAGCACAAGTAGGTGGCGATATGCACACAGGATGTAACACGCCAAAAAACGGAAGAAGAAGAAGAAGAAGGCGCCGGAGTTCGAAGTTGTTTACAGAGAGTTGATTCATCTGATTCATCTGCTGTTTATTAAAAACTTTTACAGAGATTTCTTTCTGTTTACGCTGATATGTTTTATCTCAGTTATCTCAGTTGTTGTCATTGTTTTATGCTATTCAACAAGCTGTTATTTTGATGTAATGTTCGGAGTGTACAGTGATCATGCGCCGCTAGATCACAGTTATGAACGTTTTGTTTAGAGCACTACGAGTGACAATTGGCAGTCGATTTTATAGACAACAATCTGTAAGCATGATACGGCGCACACAGATTAAGAAAGTGCTTTGTGTTGCTGAGAAAAACGATGCAGCTAAGGGCATAGCAGAGCTCATGTCAAACGGGAGATCGAGAAGAGTGAGTGCTGACTGTTGCACAGTTACTTTGATCTATAATGTCAGACCTTATAGTTATTAAATGAGTTGTTGTCTTTATGTCTATCAAATGTTGTTTTTATTTGTATGTAATGATCATCACTGGCAATGAATCTTTTTTTTTTTTTTCTTGACAGAGAGAAGGCTACTCTGTTTACAACAAAATATATGAGTACGAATACCACCTCTTTGGTCAAGTAAGTAATTTTTTATTTAATTATTACATTAATTATTTATATTAATAATTACAAATAAGTCTGTATTTGATCATAGTGTTTATTTGTTCACAGAATGCCACTGTAAGCATGACATCTGTGTCAGGACATCTCTTGAGTCTCGAATTCAAAGCTCCCTTTCAGAAATGGTAAAAAGTTATATTTCTTCATATCTCTTTGATAATACAGTTTAAATATTCAGTTAAACTTTGTCATGTGGTCTGTTTCACAGGCATAGTTGTAATCCAGTCCTGTTGTTTGATGCTGAAGTGGAAAAGTACTGCCCTGAGAAATTTATACCCATCAAAGTATTCATTTTCATGCGTTCACTTAGATTTGTGTTTAGAATATGAGCTTGTATTTTATATTTTAATGTATGTATTTACATTATCCAGAGGGCTTTGGAGAGAGAGGTGAGACAATGTCAAGCTCTGGTCATTTGGACTGATTGTGACAGAGAAGGAGAAAATATCGGCTTTGAGATCATTGATGTTTGCAAAGCAGGTAAGTTTAGTGCATCGTGGTTCTAGTTATTCACTGTACTGGTGCTATATATCTCTAACACCCATGGGATATCTTTTAATTAAGTGAAGCCAAACATTCAGGTCTTCCGTGCACGGTTCTCTGAGATCACCCCGAACTCCATAAGGAGAGCCTGTGAGACCCTTACTGAGCCGGATATCAACGTCAGTGATGCGGTGGATGTGAGACAGGAGCTGGATCTCCGCATCGGTAGGCAGTTCCAAATAGAAGAGAACATAAACACAAACTACTGCATTTTAGACAGTGTTTAGCGTATGTACACTGTGTTCCTTCAGGGGCATCATTTACCAGGTTCCAGACATTGCGCTTGCAGAAGATATTCCCAGAATCTCTCTCTGATCAGCTCATCAGTTATGGCAGTTGTCAGTTCCCGACCCTTGGCTTTGTGGTAGAGCGGTTTAAAGCCATTCAAGCCTTCGTCCCTGAAACTTTCTTTAAAATCAAAGGTACTCTGTTTTTTTGTTTTTGTTGTTTTTACACACTTCACATTTAATATTTTTGAACTAAATACAAGAAGTGCTTTGCAGTGTCGTCACATGTGCTTTATTGTCTGTATGTGAAATTTCTGTTTGATAGTTGTCCATGAGCCTAATGAAGAGGAATCGGTTGAATTCAGCTGGAAAAGACATCGTCTTTTCAGTCACACAGCATGCCTTGTGCGCGCCGGAGTTCGAAGTTGTTTACAGAGAGTTGATTCATCTGCTGTGTTTACACTTTATTAAAAACTTTTACAGAGATTTCTTTCTGTTTACGCTGATATGTTTTATCTCAGTTAACTTATAGGTTGTCATTGTTTTATGCTATTCAACAAGCTGTTATTTTGATGTAATGTTCGGAGTGTACAGTGATCATGCGCCGCTAGATCACAGTTATGAACGTTTTGTTTAGAGCACTACGAGTGACAATTGGCAGTCGATTTTATAGACAACAATCTGTAAGCATGATACGGCGCACACAGATTAAGAAAGTGCTTTGTGTTGCTGAGAAAAACGATGCAGCTAAGGGCATAGCAGAGCTCATGTCAAACGGGAGATCGAGAAGAGTGAGTGCTGACTGTTGCACAGTTACTTTGATCTATAATGTCAGACCTTATAGTTATTAAATGAGTTGTTGTCTTTATGTCTATCAAATGTTGTTTTTATTTGTATGTAATGATCATCACTGGCAATGAATCTTTTTTTTTTTTTTCTTGACAGAGAGAAGGCTACTCTGTTTACAACAAAATATATGAGTACGAATACCACCTCTTTGGTCAAGTAAGTAATTTTTTATTTAATTATTACATTAATTATTTATATTAATAATTACAAATAAGTCTGTATTTGATCATAGTGTTTATTTGTTCACAGAATGCCACTGTAAGCATGACATCTGTGTCAGGACATCTCTTGAGTCTCGAATTCAAAGCTCCCTTTCAGAAATGGTAAAAAGTTATATTTCTTCATATCTCTTTGATAATACAGTTTAAATATTCAGTTAAACTTTGTCATGTGGTCTGTTTCACAGGCATAGTTGTAATCCAGTCCTGTTGTTTGATGCTGAAGTGGAAAAGTACTGCCCTGAGAAATTTATACCCATCAAAGTATTCATTTTCATGCGTTCACTTAGATTTGTGTTTAGAATATGAGCTTGTATTTTATATTTTAATGTATGTATTTACATTATCCAGAGGGCTTTGGAGAGAGAGGTGAGACAATGTCAAGCTCTGGTCATTTGGACTGATTGTGACAGAGAAGGAGAAAATATCGGCTTTGAGATCATTGATGTTTGCAAAGCAGGTAAGTTTAGTGCATCGTGGTTCTAGTTATTCACTGTACTGGTGCTATATATCTCTAACACCCATGGGATATCTTTTAATTAAGTGAAGCCAAACATTCAGGTCTTCCGTGCACGGTTCTCTGAGATCACCCCGAACTCCATAAGGAGAGCCTGTGAGACCCTTACTGAGCCGGATATCAACGTCAGTGATGCGGTGGATGTGAGACAGGAGCTGGATCTCCGCATCGGTAGGCAGTTCCAAATAGAAGAGAACATAAACACAAACTACTGCATTTTAGACAGTGTTTAGCGTATGTACACTGTGTTCCTTCAGGGGCATCATTTACCAGGTTCCAGACATTGCGCTTGCAGAAGATATTCCCAGAATCTCTCTCAGATCAGCTCATCAGTTATGGCAGTTGTCAGTTCCCGACCCTTGGCTTTGTGGTAGAGCGGTTTAAAGCCATTCAAGCCTTCGTCCCTGAAACTTTCTTTAAAATCAAAGGTACTCTGTTTTTTTGTTTTTGTTGTTTTTACACACTTCACATTTAATATTTTTGAACTAAATACAAGAAGTGCTTTGCAGTGTCGTCACATGTGCTTTATTGTCTGTATGTGAAATTTCTGTTTGATAGTTGTCCATGAGCCTAATGAAGAGGAATCGGTTGAATTCAGCTGGAAAAGACATCGTCTTTTCAGTCACACAGCATGCCTTGTGCTGTATCAGATGTGCATGGAGGTGTGTGCTTCTACTTGACTTGTTAAAAACGTTTTTAAAAACATATGTAAGCTTTGTAGTTCATTATTAAGTCATCGTAAGTTTTCTGTGTTTGGTTTTAATCTTTTCTTAGGATCCGATGGCGAAAGTGATATCTGTAACAAGTAAACCAAAAAGCAAATGGCGACCTTTACCTCTCGACACTGTGGTAAGTAATTTAGAGCTTGACAGATTTTATACATTAAAACATTTGGAAATATGGACGGAAGTATGTATGTGGACACTCAGACATCACACCCATACACTACCATTCAAAAATGTGAGTTCAGTAAGATCTTTTGAAAGTTCTTGAAAGAAATCTCTTATGCTTGCCCAGGCTGCATTTATTTGGCCAAAAATACAGTAAAAGCAGTATTATTGTGAAATGTTAGTATTTAAAATAACTGTTTCTATTTTAATCAATTTTGAACTGTAATTTATACCTAATTTATTCTTACTGACCCCAAACTTTTGAATGGTAGTGTACTTTTTGTCATATAGTGTATGCTATACAACTACACGCAAGATGGTAAATATAGACAAATTTGACAGTTTTGTGTACACAATGGTCATTAGCTACTAAAGTTAGTATAGCTTGTAAATTTATTTTAAGTGACTTACACCCATTAAGACCCAAAAATGAGTACTAGTGCTGCTGAATGAGTTAAGTGTGATCAGCAACTGAATCAATGAGAAATAATGTAATATATTTGTTAATACGTTTCAATTTCTTTCTTCAGGAACTTGAAAAACTGGCTTCAAGAAAACTGAGGATAAGTGCCAAAGAAACCATGAAAATCGCAGAAAAGCTGTACACTCAAGGGTATGTTAAAGGTTATTTCATCCACATGTCTGTGGTAGTGTTGTCAAAAGACCCGGTACTTCGGTACCAAGTCGGTACTAAAAAAATGAAAACGTTACGGTACCAGGATTTTTTAAGTACCGGTGATACCGAGTACCCGGTCAACCCGGTTCGAGAATGTACAAATGGTTAACATTGTTTGTGTCACATCAGTCAGAAAAGCAGTTCTGGGCTTTTTTTTTTTTTAGCTAACTTAGTTGTTATTCTTGGCTGAATAACTCTAGAAGGTTTTAAAAGCCCTTTAAAATTAAATATGTACACAGTTTGGATTAAATTAAAGTATAGTCAAATTTTTTAATTAGCATGTTTTTGTGTTTTGCTTTGGTACCGAAATTGGTACCGAGAACCGTGGATTTTCACTGGTATTGGTACCGAATACTGAAATTTTGGTACCGTGACAACACTAGTCTGTGGCCTAAAGCATGTCTGTTGTGTCCTTTCACAAATCAGCCTGTCTGTTTCCTTCTAGGTTCATCAGTTATCCTCGTACTGAGACCAACATGTTTCCACAGAACCTGAACCTAACCATGCTGGTTGAGCAACAGACACAAGACAATGAATGGGGAAATTTTGCACAGCGCATTTTGGAAAGCGGTGGGCCCACACCTCGAAATGGAAACAAATCTGATCAGGCCCATCCCCCCATTCACCCCACCAAATACACCAACAGTTTACAGGTGAGCAACCTTCCCTCAATAGTGCGATATGCGGTATTATCGCCATATAGCCTATATATATATATATATATATATATATATATATATACAGTGAATACTTTCCGTACCCACTGTATAGGCTATATATATATAATCTGTATGTGTTACGATGTAAGGAGGTCATATTCAGAAACCAATGAAACCGAAATTAAATCGCGTTGAAACGGAAAGTGAAGTAAACAGAAGAGAATGACAAAATAACGGTCCACATAACCGAACATAAACCTGATGATAAAATCGTTAGGCTAACAATAGAACAATAGAATATATAACAATAATATATATATATAAAACAGTTAGTGCTGATCCTCGAATCTGACTGGACAAGAGACTTTTTCTGTTGATATTTCCACCTGCGCGTTCTAGACGGGCTGTCAGTCAGTGCAGTTACATTGTTGGGACTGTCTTTGAGTGAGTCTTTAAACCGTTCATTCAACTACACGTTCAAAAACGCTGATTCATTCAAAGAGAGATGTAATGAAACACGCTGATGAAATCATTTTAACTTTGAGCACCACTTTTAAAGGCTCAGCTGACCAGCTATGCGTCGATGCTAAGACAGAGATTTCGCTTTGCTTGGACGTGACAACCTCTTTTCACAAATATATATGACTCGGCCTGGAGGACAGGTCAAGGTCAGCACATGCTCAGTCGATCTCTCTCTCATTCGCTGTCTGTTTAGGCTTAAGTGCAAATCTACGGAGCCTCTGTAAAAATCAGCATGGTACACATTATGTTATCATTACTAACTTGTTTAATATTCAGTACACATGCACGAAGTGTAAAACGAGAAGGGAATAACTTTACGAAAAAAGAAAACAGCAAATATCGCGGTTGTTGTGGTCCTCTGCGGTTTGCTCGTCAATAGCGCGGTATTTAATTATAGGTAAAGTAGGCGCGTTTCCATTACAGATTTGCGCAAAACTTTGGCGATATTTGGTAAAAGTCGATAAAAAAAGTATTGCTAAATTACGGCGTTTCCATTAACCAATGTTATGCGACTGAAACGTAACCTTTTGCCTCTCACGATAAGTCATGGCAACGGATTTTGACAGATTTTGGCTATATTTATTCAGAGGAGGCGTATGCGTGTATCTTTACAGAAGCAGCACAGAGAGCCGCTTCAGAAACGTGCGTGGCACGGCTGGAATAAGCACAAGCATTGACTAGAGTGGCCGCAGTCAGCTTCAGTGGCCGTATCAGAGCCACACTGCACCGCAGACGTGTGCAGTGTAAATTGTCTAAGCATTAAT